AAATATTCAACTTTACTAGCTTCTTGCACTAAACTCTACTCACTTCGTGAATCAGACCTGAAGATTACATTGAATTCCTGATGAAATTACTTATTCAACGAGGAGTGGTGTGTTTTTCGGGATTTTATTATCACTGTTTTATTATTTTTGGAAAATCACCTCTTATTCAAGAAATTATATTCAACAGTCTCTAGAAGAAACAACATTATATGTATTATGTATATGATTCAAAAATGATTATCTGATTATCTGATTTTTTTTTCAGTTGCTCTTTCATTATTTTTCCTGATATAAACATATATGTTTCTTGGGAATAATAAATATTAATATTATTATGCATTCGGAACACCCGAATTAGCCTTTCGAAAATAGAAGTACTACCCAGTACCCATATACAGGGTAGGGTGTATCTAAATGACGCTGAAAAATTTCAAGGCGTGATTCCTTGTGATATCCTATAGCAAATAAAGTTTATATAACTTGCTTTTGGGATACAGGATGTTGAAGTTGAAAGTAGGTATTGATTGTTTTTATTTCTAACCCCCCTGTATAGGCTTCCATGATGCCAAAATTCAGTATGGTTGGAGACTGAGAAAGCCCAATAATTTGATTGTAATTCTTGTTCTTGAGTAATCTCAATGGAAGTCTTGAAAACATCTACATTAAATTTGGAGTCAAATCTAATTTTTATTCTCTCCTCAGGAACTAAGCTAGACAGAAGATTACACGAGGGAAAAAAATTCTTATTGAAATAGTTCAATCTAATAAATATGAGAAACTCACAAACCGGTGGCGTGCGATGACATTCACCATTAATATCGAAACATTTTTCCACTGTGACGCCACTGGAAATATTATTTCGAATCTAATTGCACCAGGAGAAGCTCCATATTACTATTACCAGAACCACAACGTTTTATTGAAATTGATGAAAAGACAATTGTGGAATTAATAAAAAAAAACGATCTTTCATGGAAATATTGATACCCTCTGTACGAAGCAATTTGGACACATGTTCATATGAACTTTTTTTGAATTTTTTCGGTGTTATTCAGATATATCCTGCATAGATCTATTGACACACAATTTGAAAAGATATCTTTGTCCTCATCATAATAAACTACTTACCAGATGGAGTGGGACAGCCAAAAATTTACTAATTCTGATAAGCTTTAATGATATTTAGAAGCAAAAAATTCGTTTTTATAGAAAAAATTCAACAGTTTTATTGATCGTTTTAGTTGAAGAGGTTTCATACCCATAATTAGCATGATGCTGACAAATTCAGAGGCATGCAAGAAAGGGCCGGGCTTATGATATTCATAAACGAAAAAACGTTTTTATTGACAAAAACAACAGATTCATTGATCGTTACAGTAAAAAAATTGCATTACACTTAATTAGCATGATGTTGACAAATTCAGAGGCGTGCAAAGAGGATTCTGTAATTCCGACAGATTCAGATTCCAGTTTTATAATTCATTTTATCCCCATTCATAAACAAGGTGCATACATGTTATTAATTCCTCTTTAAGGATTCCATCGGCGTACAAAAAAAACCATATGCTTACGTAAATAGGAGAATGTTATTTAAGAAACCAGGAAGAATCCCCAAATGAATGAATATTCATGAAAAAAAAAAAAGAATATGGATCATATTTTAGTAGGGTGTTGGCCCCCCACTAGCCTGAATTACTGCCTGGCACTGACTTGGCATGCTCGAAATAGAATCGTTGATTAGTTCTATATGGAATTACTTCCCAGATGTCTAGAAGCATCATTTCCAGATCGTCAAGAGTTTCTAGCTGACGTTTCCTTCGGAAAAATTCCAACTCCATCCAACTCCAGATGTGCTCAATAGGATTCAAGTCTGTCCTCGTATCCCTGGCCATGTATGGGCCTGTTGAAATTTGTTTTGGTTGGTCCGATTAAAAAAAATGTAAAGAATATTTATCTAAGAATAAATGCTTGATCAGAAAGAGGACGAGAAAATTAATGAAGAGAAAATACTAACATTTTTTCAATGGTACGAAAATATTTTCACTGGGTGAACAAAGAACAACACTTGATAAAATTATTAAAAATTTATCCATATCAAACTTCCTGAATCGCCTTGAATGATGGATCCTCTTTAATACACCAATGGATTACTTGGATCCTCACCTTGAATGAGTAAAAAACAATGATGATTAGACTGGAATTTTGATCTGTCTACCTACATTACAGAATCACCTTTTGAGCGCCTCTGAATTTGTCATCATGCTGATTAAGGGAATGACACCTCTTCAACTGTAACGATCAATAAAACTGACCAACCATTCACTCAACATCTTTGAAAGAATTCTAGGGTCCCTCACATTCCCCAAATTATTGGTCAAAGATTTGAAATTTTTCTGGCTCGTAATTCACATACTCTGTACAAAGAGAACGAATCGCAAAAATCAAAACCCGACGCCAATGACGAAGGGCCCAAGGATGACGCTTTCTACATTTGGTTGGAAATCCAACATCGGCCAAGAAATGGTCGAGTTATAACTTATCAAAATTAGTCAATTTTCTGGCTGTCCCATTTCATGTGGTAAGTAGTTTAGTTCATTCCTGTAGATTGTTCGATTTGGGTAGGTATAATCTAGAGTCACTGTATAATCGAAACAAACAATCACCTCTATGCAGTAGATATAATAGAAAGAAACAAAACTGTTAATTTCTGCTCTGATATTCTCGATATACATGATTTTCTGGTTTGTACGAGATTATTCTCCTAGAAGCACTTTCGAAGTGTTTCCTCTCAAATGGTACACAGTATTGTAGTGTTGTGGATTTGGATAGACATGCATTCTGTGGGGAATATGACCTCGTAAGACCTGAAGTAGGTCGGAAGTTCATAAGTGGTCTGTTTACTGAAAGTGGAGCTACTTCGCATTTCATGAAAAGACGGCATTCCATGTATGCAGTTTGTGATATGCGCAAGTCATGTAAAAAAACTGATACAGATGATCAAGTGAATATGAAGTGAACATAGCATCAGCTATCATTCAATACTATGAATGAGAAATAATCATAGGAACATATCTGGATAATGAGAAGACCCATATTTGAAATATGATGTGCAAAATGTAGATAAAATAACTAAGGATGAAACTCATTTTGGATAATATAGGGGATTGCCCAAAAATATTGTGATTTGAATAAAGAAAACTCTCAGTATCTCTCGGATCATTATACAGAGAGAAACAAAAGTCATTATTCCACCCTTAACTTATAATCGCCTTGTAATGAAGTGCTAACCCTTCTTAACATAATGGTTTTTAGTTTTTGATTCACATCGATATATGCTTCTTGAGAGGAGATAAAATTAGTCTTGTTGTTGATGAAAGATTATGTTGGGAAGGAATCATATTCCAATACAGAACACAAGGAAGCTGAGTTCAACTCCTTTTTGCTACAGCGCGTTGAGAACAGTGAAAGAATAAGTTTTGTTATATCAAGCCCTTAGCTTTTTTCAAGAACTTAATCACAGGCTAATATTCCTGAACATAAATCCACAATAGGGTCGAGATTCCACCAAAATCAGGGCGAACAATTTGGTGAAATATTTTTCTGGCCGTATTGAAACCATAACCAAAATTCCAATATTTTCTAGTTATCTCTTAAACAATGAGAAATTAAAATCCTCTGGTTCATTTATATGGGAAATTATATCCACTTGCTCATTGTCGATGATATTTTAGTGGATTCTACATTTTTTTTTATTCATGTTCTGGTTCCCACGAAAAGGGATATCCTGAAATGTTCAGAGAACATTGTGAGAACCAAGGGAAATAAGGTAGGAATTGGTGTTCTTCTCAAATTTCTGGAGGTTATATGCCTCGGGGAACACCTCCCTTGGCAATGTGTTCCAGAGCTTCACTGTTCATTGGATGAACGAGTCTTTGCAAAGAGATGTTCTGCTGGTCTCCAAAGTGACCACGGAGGGGTGCGAAGCCTCAACTCGACGGGTTAATCTCTCGGGGACTGCCAAGGGAGGAACAATTGTTGATATTTCAAAAGAGCATCGTCCATGAAAATATCTATAAAAAAGAGCCGGATCGCCAACTTTTCTACGGTGTTCCAGAGAAGTGAGTGAGTTTGTGAGTGAGGCATCACCCACGAGACGAGTTGCCCTTTTTTGGACAGAATCCAACAGTTTCAGGGTATGTTTGGGTGCTGCTGCACTCCAAATATGGAAACAGTATTCCAACCTTATTGACTTCATGTACATGAAAATGTTGCCGAGCAATGAAACGAGAGAAAATCTCGCAAAGAATCTTCCTGCCTGGATGAATGGTACCATATAGTTATTTATTATACAAGGAAAAAAAGTAGATTTCAGCTTCAGATTGTGTTGTGGAGACAAATAACCGTGAGATAAAATCTGATATTTTTCCCGTGTATAATACACTATTTTTTCTGTGACAGGGGAAAGTACGAATGAATATTAAGGATATATTAGATTACATGAAAATCAGAAAATTATCAACATCAAATTGACAGTAATGATACCTGCGTTGCAGGCATATTCATGTTGGCATCTTCATCATTCGGTTGGAATAATCAAATATTTTGTGATTTTATTAAAAAAAATGCGAATTTAGTGTTTGCTTAGTGATTTACGTAATGAAATCGAATGGAAGATGGGAGGACTTGCAGTTTTTTCTATAGGAGACGATGTGATATATATCCGGGAAAATGAACTAACTTTTTTCCGTAGGAAAAAAGTAACTTACGAAAAACGACATTTCATAACCTGTCAACAGAGATGAAATTTCAAACTTCTTTCCCGTCACAAAAAAAATAATGTTCGTGAAAGTTTCCATGGTTATACATAAAAGCTCCAGTAATTCCAACTTTTGTTACAAAACAACCTCTCCTAATTGCTCATCTGCAAAACAACTCAACTTTCTCAATAAAGTAGACATGCAATTAAAGTTCATTGGATTATAGACTATAATAAGACTCACCTTGAAGAGGATTCCGATTCCGAGGTTCATAAAGGGTTTCGTGAAATCTATTACGCTCTCGCGGGCATAATTTATGGTCATGGAAGCGACGGCCAGGTCTGCTTTCTGAAAACAAGAAAAAAGCTCTCCTGAAGATTCACATCAGTACCACTATCTGAGAAGTTATTTCAGTTTAAGAATTTAATTCGAGTAACCTTTTCAGTCATCTCCAGAAAATTATCATTATTTTGAAATGAACTGACGAACAAATGAACTGATCCACCTGAATTCTTCTTGCTTCATTGATCTTTCAGATGTCTCCAGGACGTTTATTTCACTACGTAAGTAGGTACGTCTTTGAGACGTACATTTAAGTTCTCAGAGAGGTCTTTTTGTCCATGTCCATGAATTGATCTTTCAAATTACGGAGGAGTCACATATTTTCCATGGAAGAATATGCTGGTCATTAAAGTTGCAGCCAAGCAAAAAACAAAAACAAAATATCCCAGCAGTTGGTAGACTCAAGCGGCCATCCATCCACCCTATTAGTGCGTAACAAGCTTCCACTTAAGGTGGATTCATGCAAGCAAAATTTGAAACATAAATGAATTTCAAACTTGAACCAATAATATGAAACTATGAAATGTAATGTAGGTGCTCATGCAGGAAACTGAAAAATTGAAATTGAAATTAAAACTAAGAGAGATGGCCAACATTCAACTAAGAAATTAATTTCTTCCATATTTCACGACAGTACATTTGTCCAATAATACCTAGCCGCGCTGGAAGAAGATTAAACAGCTGAACACCCATACATTTTCGATTTGAAATTTGTTTGAATCCTTAATTCATTATAATTCGGTTGATGTTGCATTAATCCACCGTTAGTTTCACATGTCTTTGTGTCTGTTTGTGATCCAAACTTGCAAGTCGAATTTGACCCACTTCCAACCGCTCCATTGGTTTCAAATGCGGCGAGTGAATATAATTCCGGTGAAGATTCGTTGGTGACATTATTATTGAATGAGAAAAACCAAATGACGAATTCAATATGGCCGACGTATGTTGTGATTATGGTCTGATTCGAATCAAAATTGGTATCCCAGAGTTTTCGGTTCCTAAAAACGTGAATAAATGACATTTTTGTTGTTTCAATATTTGTTTTCCATACGTGCTTGGAGGGATGACCTGAATCAGACCTAATATAATGTACGCCTTCAAGATGTAAATCCTTGTACATTTTCAAGACATACACGAAGGTACGTTTTTGAGGCGTCTTTTATACGTCCTCAGACGTGAAGCCGTGAGTTGAACGTAAAATCTATGTCCTCAAGACACGTCTTTTATAAGTCCTTGGACATAAAGACGTAAGTGAGACGTGAAATGTACGTCTTAAAGAAGTCTGGTGCTGATTGAGTCATAACCTCCAAAAGTTTGAAGGAAATTTCAACACTTACCTTTCCATATTTTCTCTAGGTAAGCATGATGTTCTCCGAACATTGAAGGAGTTTTTTTCGTGCGCGAGATGAAGAAAACTATATGGTATTATAAGGGTTGCATCCAGTGAGACGGTATTGTCTTGTCCCAAGTACTCGTATGAAATAAAATTCCCGGAGAGGGAGCCTGATAAACAGTCCATACAACAAACATCCAAGAAGGGTAACAGGCGCTCTATATAATTATTAGTCACTTTCACTCCGGGGCAGAAGCACAAAACTCAAGTGAGATCTGTGGGCGGTAGTAACAAAAAATATAAGACAAAACTAAAAAACCTGCTCTTGTATAGTTAGTCGAACTGAAAAATAGATAATAAATAGTATCTATAGTTTGACAAACTAAAAAATAGTGCTTTAATAAATAGCCAGACCAGAAAGAAGTAGAAATGGAAATAATGAGAGTTAGTTGAAATAAATACATACCGTAAAAAATACTAGCATTTCCGTAATCAGTATTTTCAATGTCGTGTATTTATCAACACATTCTCATTATTCTATTTCCTACAAATATCTTCGATTCTGAGACACAAATTATCACGCGTTAGTGTGGTTGCCTAAAAGCAACACAAACTGTTCGGAAAAAGATTAGGGATTCTCGATAATCATCAAAAAAATGAGTTGTATTCGTATTGATTATTTCACTCACGTGTCGATACATCGATTGCTATATAGTAGTTGACAAGCAACTAGATACAGGACTCACCAAATATTGCCGCGCGTCTCGTCTTGTCAGAGGCTGGTTCCACTCGCAATATTTGATGCGTTCTGTCTCTAGAAGCTAGCGCTCATTTGTGAGAGGTTATAGGTTGAGATAGGAAATATTTGTTTCAAATGCCGATCATACTAAAATTCTTCGATACAAATAAAAATTCTGTGAGTGCTGTTTATTCCTGAATACCTATGTAAATATTATGACAAAAATTTCCATGACAGCCAGTTGCATAAGTCATTTTGTTTCATATTTGATGAACTACCAATGGAAAAGCAAAATACAAAATCGAAAACCCAGTAGTGTCGGTATCCATGCTGTAGCCAATCTACAGCCGAAACACAAAAACGAATCAACCAATAATAAACATGTATTTAGATATGTGAAATGATCTGTAAAAGCGTGTTGTTATCGTTTTTTGAACCACTATTCAACATTGAAGTCTAACAGTCGAATTGGTTTATTGTTCAAGTGATTTTCAGAGGATATGGGCGCGTATACATATATTCAGTTGAAAATACCTCGTTAACGCAATAAATTGGGATTGTGCTTGTTCGAATTGTTTTTGTAATATCGACAGACACAATTATTATCCAATCATAGCATCATTCATCAGCTCGTTAAAATTGAAATATCAGGTGAACCTTTTTCTATATTGGAAAACATATGTAATGTGTAGTTATATTGGATTCCGCTAGAGATAGACGTATCATCAATTATCCCAGTCTTTTTCACAAAATACATTAAAGACTCGTGCCAAACAAGAATTCAGGAACAGATCTCTCAAGATATTTCATGTCTCCTTTGATTTCATTCGATTCTTTAGCGTCACACACACACACAGCACATCCTAGTGTGTATTCGGAATCAATGTCATATTGTTTCACCTCGCCATACTCCAGTTTAGAAATAATATTTTTACGACAAACTACTTGAAATACTTATCATTTCGCACTATGAAACAGCACGACATGATACGTATTTCGCATTAGTGCGAAATATCTGTGCGAAATGGAAATGTCACAAATCCTATATTGAATGGCGAATACACCTATACTCCTACCTAATTTGTACTGAATTTATATAGGCATCAGCTATAACAAGGACAAATTTACAAATCAGTTGATGACAGTGTCAGTTTCTACACATTAGGCCTGTTCGTTTGTATTGCTGAACTGGCTAAAGTTGATCTTTTTCCCATAGTTGTCTCTGTTCATGCCATGATGTAAACAAAGAAAGTCATAGAAAAAAATCAAGTTTAGCAGGTTGAGCAAGAACAAACGAACAGGCCTATTGTTATAATACCTACTTCAAATTCAATTCGATCACATATTATTCATTAGACAAATATGTACTTATAAGCTGTGCGAAGTTTTCGTGAATCTGAAACAAAAAAAACATGGAATTTTCATCCGATGATGAAATGTCAGATTTTACCCTTATAAAATCCAGGAATCAGAAATCAGAATGACAAAAGGATTGTTTCCAGAAATATCAAATCACAAGTATGATTTGGCGTATGAAAATTCAATTGCATGAAAAGAAAAAACAATGCATCTTACTATGAGCTTCTATAGATGCGAGTATGCGAGTATTAAGGTGTATACCAATACTAAAACAGGTGAGTTTTGAGAATAGAATCTTGTACTGTGTGGTATCAATATTGTCCCGCGTTCAGACATTTTTATATTCCAGGTAGGTCGTCGAAGAAGTATAGTGTAAAACTCGTGCGGTAACTGGTTATTTCATACTCGAGTGCGAGCCGTGAGCGAGTGGTTCATCATCTTGTCAGGAACGCGTATGAAATGACTCATTTTCCGCACTATTTGTACAATATACTATTGTGTGTGAATTTTGATGTAGAAAGTTGATATTCTTTGGGAAGTTTTAGGTATGAGATAGACGACCATGTTAAAAGATCATTCGGAAATCATAATGTAGCCAAGCAGTAGTTAGAAAATGCAATTTTCGAATTTGGAGACAAACTTTTTAAATTTCTACCCCATTTTTAATCGAATGTTCTTTCGATTCCATGCTTTGAATCATTTCAGCTTCGAAGCCCAAACGGTACCATATGGTGCCGCCTTCAAACTTTTTTCCTGGTTCAATATTTCATTCTCTAAATTATAAAAAAGTTTTTATCCAATAATTCTCATTTTCTTCTACCGTGACTAACAATGCTTTGGTCTATTGTGGGTCACCCCAAGAGGGTAGGTAGGTTCAATTCACTATACAATCGAAAGACTATGGTTGAATGAGATGAGATTTTTCTGGAATTGGTGTTGACCCTTAGAGAATAGAACATATTCTGTTCCATACAACAGTCACTGGATGGTTTAAATTAAATGAGAGTTCGGACACAGAAACGACAAGTGTTAGTGTTTTTGAATGTATTGATTCATTGCATTGTGACAAGAGCACCATGGTCTTCCCGCGTTATTTCATTCAAAATTGTTTAAATTTGACAATAAATACCATGAAGAAATATAATTGCATTACCTATTGAGAACAAAGCATAACTGAGAATTTCCTGCTTTGTAATGAATTCTGGGGATTCTAAAGAGAATGGATTTCATTCATTTAATTCCCCAAAGGAAATATCAACAATTCTCTTATGGAAGGAATGATATATAAAACGGCCTGGATGGAAAATTAATTTGAAGACAAGTGAAATTTGTGAGGAACATACAATGAGATTCACAGCAGATTAGAATGAAACTATATTTTAGGCCCATTTTCTCGAACAAAAGATTCTAAGATCCGTTAGAGAGAATCTGCTGTTCTATTAATTCACAAAACAATCAATTATCATCATCACTCGAAATGTGAAATGAAATTATTATGGAGATAGAGGAATTGATGGCAAAACTACGTTATGATATTAGAAATGTGAGAACGAAACTGACGAAATCAGATAAATTGCAACGATATATATCATTGAATGGCGTTTTCTCTAGGTATCGGCCGTACTAGCTATAAATAAGTATATCCATGTGTCTATTTTGTCATATCAAAATGTTGTTACATACATTCTTCTCATTTTCATAGCTGTTGCTCTGCGAAAAGTGCGGTATCGATATAAATCGAAGTGAGTGTTTATACCCTATTTCTTTTTTCAATCTACGGTTATGAATTATTTTACAGGAAATCTATTACCTCTGAAATAGTATCTGTCAATCAGGAATTGGAAAGACAAAGAACAGGATATATTTTCCATTATCTCATTCACTAAAATCATTGTAGAGAATGAAAAAGGACGAGAGTTCATCTGTGTCCGAACTCTCTCATCTAATCGGCTATAATCTTAATTCAAAACTGGTCAGACCTGTCACTACTGTCAGTAAATCCACTGACTGCTAAAAATCTGTGCTCCGAACCATCGTGGTTCCGAAATGAAGAATCAAAAATTCAGTGATTCAATTCGGAACACGTTTTCATGGTTTTTATCAGTAATATCATTCTCAGCGTCAATTATATTGATAACAGTCATTCTTTGATATTGAATATAATATTATCAATTCATGATTGATAAGACAATGCTCAATGTTCAAATATAAACATGAATGAATGTGAAATTCCTTCCCTTTGAAATAATGACAGTTCACTGAAGCCACACTATACCTTTCGATAGTCAGCAATTTCAGCAGAATAATGAATCAAAATATTCGAAATGAAAAGTATGTCTCCTCACAAATATCTGTCACTTTCAGTGATTTTTTTTTGATTTTGGAATAAAAAATCAGCAGATTCAGTACTGTCAGTTGAATTCGGAATAATACACGTTCCCACTTTCGGTATATAGATGAAATGATCTAGATCATCACCTCTAATCCACTGTTTCAAAAAGTTTCGTTTCACGTCAATATAATTTTAGTTTTTGACAACTGTCAACATCAGTCATTCACGTCATTTCTCGTATTGAGACGGAATGAAAAGTAGCAAACGAATCATTGAAGATGAATAAAACGCAACTTATGTATACTACATTATAAATTATATATTTTTCATTATCTTATTCACTCAAATCATAGTAACCATATCTGCAGCTCAGAAGGACCCAGTTTTTGGAATGATGGTAAGATATTTATGAAAAACTGGCTTTCACTGCAAGCGAATCAGTGCGGAAAAGTAATACTTTGCGCACGCTCGTTGGAAAACTCATCATCAGTTCACTCGCCCATTGTACCAGCAGGAACATTCCTGCTCTGGAAATTCAATGGCACTGATACTCACCTTCTCCATGAGTTCTCTGACGATCCCGTTCCATTCCCTCGTTTCAGGATCGTACACCCCGTACATGTGGTCCGGCACCAGTCTGATGGAATATTGAAAGCCCACCTGGCCAGCTATCCATTTCAAAAGGTCTATACAGAAGCCCTCGTATCGAGCGTTTCCCGTCAGATTCTTATCTTCTTTCACCATCACGTACGGTCTTTCCTGCAATCAAAAGAACGAATACGAATTCTTATTGGGTCAATAAGAGTCGTGGTACACCAGAAGTATTCCAGAATGTTTGCATCAAATAGGACAGGACGAAATGCAGTCTATACTTCCAAAACTATATATTTTATTCTTGTGTTTTCCACTCGTCGCTCTAGCTCGAAATTTTTCGGCACTGAGCACGATTTGCGTGATCCACTGAGAATTTCAACAGCGAACTTTTGTCAAGAAATGATTTTCACTGATGGCGGATTCGATTGGTGAAACTGGTGTCGGGTTTCAAATTCCATTGGAAAACTGGTTCACATAGTTCTGAGCTCAGTGCAACAATTCTCGTACGAGTTCTAATAGGTCGTGCGAAGTCAGTGCAGTTTTGAAAATGGCGGGAACATCAAATAGTGATGAAAAGTTGGAGGTTTCAAGAAAATGAAAGAGATTACTTCCCAGAATTCATAATTTTGTTAAAATCATTTTGCAAATTCAATAATGAAGAGGGACTTATTGAGGAAGTGCTCGAGATTATTTCCATGAAACATATACTTTATTTCTTCATTGAAGTTGAAAATGAATTTCAGGATGCGAACAACTTATGAACAAAGACAAATCGACTCATCTGATTCAACCTTCAACAATGATATTATTAAAATATCATTTCCTATTTCATTGAGAATGCATCAGTTTACATTTTGGAGAGGAGTAACGTAGTTCTGGTGCGAAACTAGTGCAAAACCAGGGCACCACCAGTTTTACGGATGGAATTCGCTATGACTTTAAAACTTTCTCGATGCTCGTTCAAAGTTCGAGTTTTTCAGTACCGTGCTTGGGCGACTGTGCGCTTCACATAACCTTAAATATCCGAGTGAGAAAATATTCGAAATTGGAATGATTATTTACTTCTCATTGGAGTTTATTTCAATTATTTCCTGAATCATAGATTCTTGGGGTACTATATATATAACCATGATGAAGAAGTTATGACTGGAACACACGAGTACCTACTTCGTTATGAAACATCATTCACCAAACACTAATAGCACACAACGTTCTAAGGACGTCCCTATTTGGTACAATTCACGTCCGAATGTCCCGAAACAAGAATAAGTGTCCTTGGGACGTCCCATCCCGTACAGCTCATGCAATGTCCGAGCAAGCACGTCCACGGAATGTGCCAGCTGGTACATCATTTCGAATATCCTAGAAATGGCATCCCTTAGACGTCCCACGTGGTACATATTGTGGATTGTCCAAGCAAGGACGTCCTTGGCATGTCCCTGATGGGATATAATTTTGAACGTTCCTTTAGGATCCATCGAATGTCCCGAGTAGTACATATACTGGCATGACTTCAGATCTTATATAATGTCCCTTCTAGACAACCATGAAATGACCCTGATGGCACATTCCTCCAAATATCTCTGCACAGGTGCCCTTAATATTTCCAGGATCGTGTATCAATCGAAATGTCCCTTAGGGACGTCCTTAGAATGTCCGTCGGATGTCCCAACACTGTACTCTTCCACTGTCCTAGAAATAATTTCTTGAAATTATGTTTCAGGCGATCTGTCTCTCGATCCTAATAAATATGCATTACATAATAGGTCATTGTCGTTCTAGATGAAAACCTAGTTAGGTAGTTAGTAGGCAGGAGCTTTATTATACCTCCTCACACTAGGTCGCCTACTAGATTTTCATTTAGGTCGACAATGCATAAGTATAATATGCCATGGAAAATTGACGATATTTGAACAAAAATCAATTTGATACTTCTGTCATCATGAATTAATTGATTAGTATACTGTATAAATGCATTCGAAAGTTCTGATTAGAAGTACGTACCGAATATGAAGGAGCGTATGATATCATTGGAATTCAGAAAGGATATTATTGATATTGAGCTGAGGGAGCAAACGCCTACTTTCGATTCAGTGAGTAGATAAAAACATCTAAGTCTATACCTATTGAAATTCGAATATACCGCCATATTAGCTATAATCTTTCTGATTGGTCGTAGACTGGAGTTGGGGCAAAGACGAATTCGTGCGTGTCACATAAGATGTCATATGATACCTGCGTAACCATACTGGAAGTTACGGTAAAGAGATTGATATATGTTTTTTCCATTCTATATGTTTCTAGATTAATAATAATAATAATAATAATAATAATACTCTTTATTCCAGAGACATACCCACAATACATATTCCCTATCAAACCCGGTATCGTTGAATTCGTCATGATAATCCCTAACCGATTATGGAATACAATACATGTGTGTAATTCAAAAATAAAAAGTTGGGGTCATTTTTGGTGAAATTGAAAGTAATAGATGGAATGGTTTCATCAATCAATGAGCAATTTGGTGTACTTGCTACCCACCAATTTTCAAAACTCTATCTAGAATAATTCAAGAGTTACAATCCTGGCCGTTTTTTGTACACTTTTCTGTATGTGTTCTAGGGCAAAGACATCATGACTGATGATTGAAACGAATAGATTGTGCCTAATGACATCTCGATTATAATCGAGATCAGCAGAGATCAGATCAATTGAGTGAACAAATAACTGAACGATCGAAGTCACATAATAAAGCACCATTAAGATACCATTTGCAAGCTCTACAATGAGAAGAAGAAACCAAAGAGTTCGTTCCAGAGAAAAAAAATTGTGACTATTAACACTGCAATAACTGCAGTGTTTGAGTCCAAAGCCTGACTCATCTACGAATCAATCAGTCACTATGCAGCTCTCAATGGTGCCTTCCCAAAATAGTTAATTATTGCGATATACTCACATACTCCAATAGAGAATGGATTACAAAAGATTCTATGAGTATTTTGGATCAACATCATTATCAGTATTATCGTCATTTCAATAAGCTCTCGACTCTCGAGTGAAGTGATCTTTGTTTCCGAACATGGAGAGTATATTACTGACATCGAAAGGCATAATGACATCAGAAACGAATGTAATAAGAGAAAAGCTCTTACAACAGTAGAAATACCTTCCCATAATCCTTCACGATGAACCTATCTCGAGAGTCCACACATGAGGCATTTCTCGTTAAAATCAACCCCTCCCCCATCATTAATGGCGCTCCGCCAATTAATGTTATCGATTTGGTATTTTCACTTCAACACGGCAGCCGAAACGTAATCAGGGATTATTGGGGCTTTGATCTTCGATTTCATTTCATTGGATCTTTGATCGAGTTTGTCGCTGAGCGATCACGATCGGGAAAGGTTTCCACATAGGCGGCTTCTGGGGGAAATTGGGTGGAAAAAGGTACTAACCCTTCTTGGGAATGAAGGAGATATTTACTCAGCATAGTGGAGAGATGTTCTAGTGAATAAATTGCCATATATGGAGAAGTGCACAAAAAAAAGGCCAGTCCTGAAATTTGGTGGGTAGCAAGCCCAATCAGCCAAAGTACATCTTTTAGACGTCTTCGAGACGTATATTCCACTACGTGAAACGTACATTCTAGGTCTCAGCAAAATCTTTCGAACCTCTAAGGAAAAAAATCGACAGCACCAGCGTGCTGTGATCTGTGAGCCTATGTTGCCAACAGTGATGCTACAATACAAATCCATGCATTATGAATTGAAATATGTACTTAACAAGCACTGGTAAAAACAAAGTCCTTTGAGAAACATGTTGAAATGGCCCAGTGGGAGACGAACTTTATGCAACCAATGTGAAAAGTATCAGTGTCAGAGCTACGTTCTAGGACGCTGTCCTTTCCATAGCTAATCAGGTGAATTGCTCAGGGTGAGCGAGAATTCGAAGGTTCAGATTGCAGCTTGCGATAGCTCTATAAATTATCGTTAAATGTTTGTGGAAAATGTAAAACAAAAACCACAATTCCGGAAATTCGACGAGCTCAATGCTGTTCCTATGGAAAGGGGGTGTGGGTGAAGGTAGCGATGGGTGTCAGCCGGACTCAAAGCGTTCAGTCTACGGCCGATCAAACCACCTCCGAATCAGTGAGAATTGAATGACCTGTTTTCTGGATGTTAGGAAGTGCATTCAGTCTGTAGGGGAGGATTGGGAGAGTGAGTCGTTATTCCTGGGGTTCCCTAAAAATATCGCACGCTTCGTCAATCAGTCCGTGCTTTCTGCGCGGGCCATGATCTGCCCTGATGTTAGTCATATTATGTTGGTGAGAGGGTTGAATCTGATTTGATAGCTGTGAAACTCATTAGCTTATTTCAATATGTGATCCTTGATGAGGGGCAGATCATGACACTGAGCGTGCATGCCCACCACTGAAGAGTATCTATTGCCATTGGTAATGAACTGGCGCTACGAAAGGTCACTGTTATAGGCACCTACGCGTTATTATGAATAGTTTATTCACATTATTAGTTTCGAGTAGGTTTGATAGCACAAAGTGGTTAGTCAGTCCGAATGCCAGAAGGCGGCTTGTGTTCAATCCTTGCGAGGAGCAGCTTTTTTATTTAGTTCTTTCAAGGGTTTTTCCGTGAAATATAATTTCTAGGAACAAAGTTCATTTAGGCCGAGTAAGGTTGGAGTAATCAGAAAAAGTAGCCTCCTTTCTTATGTAGAAGTGATATTATTTTTCCTCCTTATGAGAGTACTGCCTAAATCAATGAGCTGCTTTAATCTGTAGCATCAATTCGCGAGATTCACGAAGTGGGCGACATCTAGGTTACATAATACGAACTTCAAACTGGGGGAAAAGAAACTGTTGTCTATGGATTCAGTGCATAGACTACATTCATGGTGGAAATATATATTCACCATAACTACATTGCATACAGTTTGCTGTAGCTGTAGTCAAACTTGTCAATGACATAAAGTGTTCGCACTGTTGGTAGTGATGATGGTTGAGTGGGTTTATTTTTTTTATATTATCACATCTTTATTAGTTTAGTGGACAGTGAACGGGTGATGAATTGGAGATAGTTCAAACAATTCAAACTAATTATGACGAGCAAATCAATTGACATACATAACAGAATAGCTACAATACCCAG